GCTGCGGGGTTTGTAGACGTGCTCGGCTGAACAGACTTGTTAAATCTAAGAGAAGGAGTCGTACCCATAAATGGAACTGTACTACCTATCTTTTGGGTCGGAGTCTGATTCAGTTTTCGAGTCTCACCGTTCTGACGCCAAGCCACGGGTGACTTAACTGTAGACCTTACAGCACCCAGCTGGACAAGAGAAGTTATCGGTCTAGCTGTCTCAGCGGGACTATTCGGAGGATACGAAACGACAGATGGGGCTGCTGCTGCTGCTGCTAGTTAGGGAGTAGGCAAATGCGTCACGTGGCTTGAGTGAGATGGAGACGTAGGAGTAAGGGGAAGGAGGGAGTCTGATGTTGCAGGAGTAGAACAAGCTGAATCCTTACGGCCACTTGTATTATGACCGAGTTGGGGAGTATTAGACTGAGAAGCAGTAGGTTTACGTGAGAATAGAGACCCCATTCTACGCTCCATAGGAGTAAGATCATGACAAAGGAAAAATTTTGCATTTTCTAGGTACGCAGTGACACGCTCTCGATGGGCAAAGATTGTGTCAACCTCCATTGATGAAAATAATTTGACTAAGATGGGTGGATTTTTGCTACGGGAGGACAAGCGTTTGGCATCGACAATTTTGTAGTTGAAACCACATGAATACAGGAAATTGGTCGCAATATCAAATGGCCGAGCAGATCGAGGAACATTTTTTAACAGAAAGTTGTAAGAACGCTTTTGTCTATCACTAGATTCATTGGCAATCAAGTGAACAAGTGAGTCGAGTAGCCGACGTTCTTCAGAGGGAATATCGGAGATGTTTCCATCAAATAAATTTCCAAGAATTGGCAGCAAAGTGCCAAACTTTAGCATAAAGTCATTGCAGTGGTCAAGTGCAGACAGATTAAGTTGCCGACCAATTACAACGCGTGACGACTGACTAGAAATATCATCTGACTTAGATTTAGGTAAAGCTTCGGACTTACGTTTAGTAAGGCCATGTTTACTTACAAGAGCCGAGAGCTTACGTCGACCAGTGACTTTTGGTCTCATCTTGTCTCGAGGCAATTGTGATTAAGAAAACTTATGGCGGACAAGTTGACTAAATTTCAGCTAGGGGCTAACGGTGTAAAAATAAATTACAACAGTTAGAGAGAAATCGGATGCACAAAATGAGAATTGCAGAGTGCGATTAGTGAACAACAGGCATAGACTAGCAGAACTCAAAAGGAGATGGCAGCAGGCAGTTCTGAGAGAAGAGGCCTGTATTTAAGGAAATTCAACCAAAAAACGGGGGTTAAAATCGTTAGGTCTCACAGAAAAACCACTCAAAATAATATCCTCCATTTATCTTCAAATTTAAAACCAGCGGCTCGACCTATGATTTTCGAAACTGCGGGGAGGTTGTTTGTTGGCCAATAGTCATAAAATGACATAGATTGTCATTCTTGCAATAGGCAAAATGTGTGAGCCCTTCCGCAAAGCAGGCTAGGTTTCACCTTCTAGAGCGAGCTTAAACACCTTGCAGAAGATGGATGGAAAAGTTGCACTTACACTCGCTTTTAAAATGCTTACCGGGACATCATCAGGCCAAGAGCTATGAGATTGACGAAAACGCCGAATTGCAACAGTCACATCCCACAGAGTGAAAGTTATAGTTTCCAGAACTGCCCCGGTCCATGACAGGATGGCCGGAAGGTGATCGATCGAGTTTTAAATGAATGTTTTGTACAGCAAAGCATCGAAACTGTCATCGGTTAACTGGACATCAGTTAAAGGATTCCCGAAAGCGTCTCTGAAGATGGGATGTTGCGTTTTTCCTTGGTTTCGTACTTTTCGATGGAAAAGTTCCTAGGCATTTAACCGACGCCTCTTAGTGAATTGGGCCCCTTCGTCCAGCTGCTTTTCTTCAGACAATGCCCTAGCCCGCTCAAAAATATCACAAATCGGGGGCAGAACGGAAGCATCGTTCTGAAGATGGGATCGACAATAAAGTCTGCGCAACCGGCGGCGAGAGGTTAAGGTGAGGTAAACCTCATCCACGACATTAATTATTTTCTTACGCTGGACAAAACTAGAAATATTCAGATCCAAAATGTTGTACAGTTTAGCAATGCAAGCATTTACAGTCAAACATAGGAAGAAATAAGTACAATCGTATGAATTAAGGTGTGCTAATAATTCGGTCGAATGAGCTGGTCGGAAATCGAAGAAGATGCTACACTCTGAGGAAATTTTTTTTCAGCATCGAGTTCTATCCTAGAAACAAGTATGCCATGGTCTGAGCCCTCGAGTGGTCCCAGGGATGACATTGAAAAATGCATGAAATCTCTACAAAAAATTAGGCAATGTATGCTTGATCCTCGGATGAGAAAATCGTCAGCCTGACTCCACATCCCAAAGTCTACAGCCTACAGAAAATCTTCGAAACTTCTGGGGCGGGAAGACGGAAGCCAGCGGACTTCAGGAAGATAAAAGTCACTCGCAGTCAATATATACTCAGACCTTAACTCGGTCGTAGCATGAGATGCCAGTGAGACACAACGATCAACATTTCCATAGGCGTGCGGAGGGCGACAAACACAGCCAATGAGTAAAGAGATCTTAATTTTTAGAGCAACTTGGAGCCAGCATCTGCCTTCTACAACGGACAAATGTAGGAGGATCAGCGACAGAAATACAAGTGTTTGCTTAACCTAGATGCAACTGTCCCCACCACTGCTCTCTTGACTATCTTTTCGAATGCAAGTATAGGCTACAAGAGGGAGTTTAGAGTCAGTTACGGAAGCTGTTGCCCGTGTCTCATTTGTTAAAATAATATCTGGGCAATGGGCGAACACCAGAGTCTGAAGCAAAGGTATGTTATTTAGCAAAGGTCTTGCACTAAGAACAAAAAGTTTGAGGAGGAAGATTGTTTGTTTCTGAGGGAGGAGAGCTACGTCGTCCAGTCATTGGTTGTCCACGGAGCGTGCGTTCCGGGTGCAGTTATCCTGTTGTGGAGAAATCGTGTGACATCAAAATATCCTGACGCGAATAAAGAGGAGTAGGAATCGGAGGAGGAAATAGCAGGCAGGTAAACTGATTACTATTGTTAGCTGGCTCATTTTCTGCTGGATATCCACGGGCCGGTTACAGTAACGTATTTCCGCCGGAGTGAAACTGAGGAACGGGTGAGTTGACTGACCTAGTTTGGACATTAGCACGAGGAATGTATCAGTAAGACGGCCGTGGAGAAAACATGCTGGGAGGGGGGTGGGGTGGGATGGGGGACGAACTGATTTCATTAGGGCAGGAATTTTATCCAACTGCGAAAGCTTCGGCATATTCGGCATAACCGTTTCGATATGAGGTCTGGATGGCAGTTGAAAACACGCATGTTTTGGGCCGTGGTGCTTGAGGCAATGAGGGGCGATTGAGGAGGAAAAGATTTCTTAAAGGAACTGGACTTACCCGGCATTCGAGTGGCTGAAACGACACTCGGAGTCGCCTTTGATTTAGGCACTTGCCTATCTATCTGCTTCCTCTGCAATATGAAGTTGACTTCTATCAAGGAAAAAAGCCTAAGAAGTATCGACGCATTGCGGCTGAGTGAACGCAGTCGTTTAGCTTGTGAGACACTGAAACCCAAGCCACAAATTTGCAGAAACAAATGCGCTGCCACTATAGCTGATATGTGATTCGGAATGTTTCGCAGCATAAAATTATGCTTGCGTTTTATTCTCTCCTCATATTCGGAGCTTATTACCCCAATAAACTTAAACACTTACTCACCTACTTAATCAGAAGTGCCGCTTCTATAGCCATATATCAACTGATGGAGTATTACACTGGCTGGTGTGCAGTTACGACTGGTAGAGGCGTAGTTTTGAATGATTAAAGGGTCAAGAGGTTCCACATGGATTAACGGGATATTTGAGTAAACCATATCCACAGATGGTAACGAACACATTCTGGCATCCCTGTGTCTCCAACAACGATTATAGCACTCAGAGACTGCGGGTAGGCCGCGAGCTTTCGTCATTTATCACGTGTTCTGCGGGGCATTATAGAATACTAAGTAGGTTTTTCTTTACATTACAAAAATCGGAAGTTTGCTAACGTTAATACAAACGTGCGGAACAGCCAATACTGCTGTTAATTTACTACGAAAGCTAAAAATACACAGTCCGACACGAGGTAAGTAAAGAGACACCTTCAAAAAATACGGCTGCTTTACCAGACTGTCTAACAAGACTGGGAGAAATTGCATCCGGAAATGAAAAGCGTCTTTTGAAAAGGACTCAAGTAAAAAATAGGTCGTAATTGCCTAGGAATATCAAAAAATGGTAAAGCTTTACTTACCTTTAAAATTCAGCTGCGCGCCTTGATCCTGGTCAATTTGAAGCGAAGAAAGGTTTGGTCTTAGCACAGGACTTGTCAACAAGCTTCTTTTTCGGCTAGTTTCCGATCACTTCGTAGAAATCTGAAATAAACCGACCCAGATATTTCGTGAGGCTACAGATAGCGATTTGCGGCAAGCCTCAATGAAGAAGAAAGATATAGTTGATGATGCGGTCTGCGAAAACGAATGTAAATTGCACTTCTGTGCTGGCTTTGCGACGTATTTAGACGAGGCGTAACTTTCGGTAGATATGGGTGACCGAAATATAAAATTCAGGAATAAGAGCGAACTCCGATTAAAGACGCTGTTTTTTCATGAACTGACTTCATTTTTCACTTTGAGCTTGCCATTCTGTCAGACAGATGAATCATGAATCTTACTCCTGCCACATCCCGGCACTAACCACTAACTTAATGCCAATCCCTACGATACCAGAGTTAGAAATTCATGTGCGTTCACCCGGTATGAAGTAGCAACAGTCAGCACCATTGCAATGAACCAGGAATATCCTGCGAACACACGCGGAAAAAAAGTAACAAATCACTGACCAATAGGGAACACCTGGGCGCCGGCAACCTACAAGATTCCTCCTGCGATTAGACCAGTCTATCCATCGCTTTGTCGTCCTTACGATAATGCAGAACCTACGCCGCAGTGTCGTTGCGCTCACTACGTTTGCTAGAGGTTTATGCTCAGCCCCAAATAAGTCCGTTGTTATTTCCTCTAATGTTATCTGTTAGTCCGAAAACAGGTATATTAATGCTGAATATGGGTGGCCCTGAAACGCCGAACGATGTCTACCACTTCCTTTTGCGCCTTTTCTCCGATAAAGACCTGCTAGAAATCCCTTTTCAACGGTACTCCATACTTTTTATAATTTTCAGAATTTTGGCCCCTTGGGTCGCTAAACGACGCACACAAAAGCTGAAGGAGCGTTACGAAGAAATTGGTGGTGGTTCACCGCTTGCTCGCTGGACCATATGCCAAGGCAAAGCACTCGTTCGTATTCTTGATACCATAAGCCCGGAATCAGGTGCGCCTCCGTATGTGAACTAAAATTCAGCTCCCCATAAATTTTACTGTGGCTTTCGCTACGTTCACCCTTTGACCGAGGAAGCGATCAACGCGATTGAGCGGTAGGTCGAGTGTTTCATATTACATGCCTTCGGATGTCTCTTCTCCTTACTCCACTTAGATACCCATTCTCTGCAACTTAACTTAGTCGTACGGACATTCTGTTCGCAAGTTGTAGATCATTACGCTTACGTCTTTAGAAAAAGGATTGAAATGCTAGATTCTCAGTAACAAAGTTATTGCCCTTGGCCAGTTGCGCAAGATTCAATACTAATGAGACAAAACCTTCTAGCTAGTCAATTAGCGGTACTCTTTATTACCTTCATCGTCCTGTCTGCGTCACACTTGTCAGTGCACTGTTGTTATCTCCACATCACTCGGACTTTGTGTACAGACACTTGATTTTCTGACCAAAGGTCTGAAGCGTCAACCAGTATTATCAGCAAATAATGCGCCTCCCCACACCTTCGTTCATGGTCCTTGTCCGGCCTAGCCTGACTTATAAGCCCTGCGGCCTAAGCTTGCGCCCGACATCTTTTACTTTAGATAGTTATGGGTTGGTGGGAAACATGGCAGGTTTGATATTTAATATTGGACTTGGATTTTTTGTCGTGGACGTCGCAAAAGTAATCTTGATCCACTATATTTTAAGGATTACGCGTAGCGGATTCCGATCTTGGCGACAACGCATTTCCTCCACTCAGAACATGCATAACGTTGAATCTCAAATTCATTCAGAAATTTCCATGCGCACGAAATTTAACCGGCTTAACATATTTCATGCGTTAACTCTAACCTTACACGGCAAATTTGCACCCTGGGCTGTCTAATTTATTTCCTTTGAGCCCAGTTGAAGCGTTCCTTCACAGTATTTTGTCAAGCTTTATGTAGGCTGCTGCCGACAAGCTTTTTGTCTCCGATATTTTAGAAATCTGACTCGATCATTCTGTTTACCTAAGCTTGGTTACCCTTTAAAGTAGCAGCTATTTCTGCAAGGGTCTTATATCCCAACACCACTTTTTTCAAAGCGATGGGGTGGAACGGGTAGTTGCCTTTAGTCAGTACCCGCAGTACAGCTGCACCGTATCTGGCAGCAGTATCAACAGCATTGCCGTTCATTACTCTCGTCCCGAACACGGTGGCTTGGCCGGAATCGACACAATAGAGCCCCCCCTTTCTCTTAAGGGGTCCGAGCCATCTCGACCAAAACCAGTCTGGTCATTTCTTGATCGTTGGCCCACCGCGTCGCACGCAGTGAAATTTTTTGCTGAAAGTATTCGCAACGAGCTCAGTCGGATGCCTGACTCCAAGGACCAACAGGATGCAGTAGTGCTTTTCAGTGCGCACTCTGTCCCAATGTCTGTCGTGTACAGGGGTGACCCTTACGTTCAGGTATGTTCGGCTAGCCTTACTTGTACATAGTCGTTTTTTTATCTTCTTCACACCACTTTTCCTCTCCGTATACAGGAAGTAGGCGCCACGGTGCATGCGGTAATGCAAGAACTGGATTTTGCTTTGCCATATCGACTGGTGTGGCAGTCAAAAGTTGGGCCGGCGGCCTGGATGGGGCAGGATACTGCCTCTGCGATCCGCGGGTTGGCGAGACTGGGACACAAGCACGCTATCATTGTTCCAATCACCTTTACTTCTGACCATATTGAAACTCTCCATGATATGGATATCCAGTTTTGCGCACAGATTGCCAAGGAGGCTGGAATGATAAGTGTGCGTCGTGCGGTGGCACCAAATGACAATGCTATGTTCGTGCAGGTACATAGTTACTTTTCTAAGTCACTCTACATCTGTCGTGGACGTCAGCCTGCTTACTTCTGCATCCTACTTTTTTTACAGGGTCTTGCGGAGCTGGTACACGCGCATCTTCGGAAGGGTCAGGTCGCGTCTAAGCAGTTTTTCCTTCGTTGTCCATCCTGTGTCAATGACCGTTGCAGCAAGGCGCGCCTCTTCCTGGCCGGAGAGGCAGACCGTCTGACTACTTGGACAAATGCCCAATCCTTCCGCCTGCCTTCGGGCGCCAAAGCTACCTACAAGAAAGTTCCTTCGTCACTCTAGTGTAGTATTTTTCAACAAACAGAAAGTACACCGAGTCGTATACCCTTTGTCCCTTCGCTTCTCTCCCTAGGTTTACGATAAACGTTATTTCTGGCAATCAATCATTCTTCATTTTTTGTGGTTTTCCTAGCTCTTCCAACTAGTCAGTAGGCTCGTGGTGGGCTTTGCCGCCTAGTCAGTTTTCTATTAAATCTTTTGGGCCAATGTTGAGTTCTAACTCGATATGTTTCGCTGAATCAAAAGCTGGGGGTTAACAACAGAATAAAGAAAACTGTCATAAGCCAGTCCTAAAGAAATAGAATGGGTGTCGACCGCTCTTCGCCTCCTCTACTTTTGGATTTTTCCGTCTTTTTTGAACCACATCCGATGTCATGAACCAAATGCACTGCGCCATTGGATCGGTCCTATTCTGTGCAATCAGGACGCGTCTAACCATGGCTAACGTCCAAAACAGTTGTTTTGAGTTTCTGATGCAAGCGAAAAGACTGGTTCCGGGACGCACTTGTTAAGAAGGATGTGGAATAAAAACTTTTTCCGTCTTCACACTCCGCGTTCGAATACAAAGTCAGGCACAGCAACAGATAAAGGTAGTGAGCACGCAAGGGTAGCAATGTTTGTAGATTGCGGTCTCCGTGCAACTCCATACCTGTCAAAATTAACGGCTGCATCCATCGCAGACTGTTGCTGTTGGTGCGATAATTACCTGCTCTTCCGTGTCAGGGTCGTTAATTGTCGCGATTTCATTACTGCCGCTGGTTATTGGCGCGACAGTTACTTGCGATTGGACTCACCGATGCTGTCAATGAAATCGGTGTTCGCATGCACACACTCCGTGTGATTGGTCACTGCATAGGCAAGGGTTCAGAGGCAAATGTGGAGGAAGGTCCTTGCGTTTGGTATTTGACCGAGGGCCGGAAAACCGTGATCCAAGCAGTTCACGACTCACGTGGCAATCACTGCGAGAATTTCTGCCTCATAAAACTTGATGTAGTTGGGTCTTGTTAACTGAGCCACGATTTGGGCACTGAGGTCGTTCATCCTCACTGATGCTGTCTGTTTTGCCGTCAGCATCCTGGGCAGTTTCTCAGCAACCTAGCCGAATACGGTAACCGACTCCAGTCGCTTCCTGCCATGACAGCCGATCTTCCAGCCTCATTATTGGACGTCTGATGGTTACCTTCGGTCTATGCGCAGCCCCAATCCCAAGTGACATGAGAAGGCGGCTGACGGTTTCTGAGACGTCCTTTATGCATGGAGGCGCTCGTAAGATTTTGGGATTGGTGTGGCGTGGCCTCTGCAGTGGCTGGCCATAATGCATGCGTAGCCATTCGCTCTAAGTGCTTGTCGAAGTCGACAACCTCTTCCGGCTCACCGCACTGCACCTCAACACGCCGGTATATCGCACCCACACAGCCCCGTTTGTGGTTGATTGGGTGTTGTTGTTGAATAACAGTACTTGCGTTGTCTTTTTCGCCTCCTTTAACACCATTTTCGATCCACCACAGCGTTTGCGGCAGGCGAGGGCACCAAGAAAAGCCAGCTGACTGTTTTTTCCTTCGTCGCGAATAATATGCTCGCAGGATGTCGTCGAGGGGGGTTAACACCTGGTCCAAATAGGCGACGGCAGAGGTGTTACCTGCATACCGAACCAAGAATTTCGGTCTGTGGTGTTTACATAGGGGCGTGTCATGTGTAACTCAGGCACTGTACTACCTGCTTCGTCTTCCTACGCTATCATCCAGTCGCTCTAGGATCTATGAAATGCCATTTGCGTCTCCTTTCGAAGTTATGTTGCCTGGCTACCGAACTAAACCCCGCAGAACTAAACAATTCCTATTACCTAGGGTTTTAATTTGTGACGGACGATTTTGTTGTCAACTGAATCTACTGAATTTGGGATGGTTTAAAGTTGTCCGAAGGAGCTCGATGAGTGTCCTCTTTGCCGCTGTAGACCCAGTGCTTGGAGCAGCGCGCCGGAAGTTCTATGTCCTCATGCGTCCAGAACTCGCGTGTCATTACTGGGAACAACACGATCAGATGGAGGGTGTCGAAGCCGGCAGTTTTATAGATTCCTCTGCATCCGCCCTTGTTAGATCGCCTGGATCTAGTCGTGAAGTAACTGATCCACGTTTTGCTTTCATATTGTACACTGCGTGCGGGGTGTAGTCATATTTACTCCAGTTTCGCTCCCCGCACGAATTGGAAGCACCTAAAAATGCCGCGACAACAAACCTACCGACAGTCTGCCCACGTGTTATTGTTCGGTTTCGGTATGGAATAAGGCCAATTCCTGCTAATTACCTCCGGTCTCTGTTCCTCTTCTGCGCTCTTTCGCGTTCTTGTTTGTGTCGCCGTTCGCACATGAAATATCTCCAGTTTTCACTGCTCTACTCTTCCGAATGCGTTCCCTTATCTCCATCCTCATTCTTGCCCTTCCTAATGCTTCCTTCTCACTCTTGTGCTCCTCTTAGTCGCTTAACATCTTTTTTTGTCCAGCATGGCCTTTGTGTGGACGTAGAAAAACTACCGATGCAAAATAGGGGGGACACAGTGATTTCTGCACAGAATTTATTAGCCCACTTTGCTGTATTCCTGTTAGAACTGAGGTAGTATTCGGTGCAGACCGTCTTAATTACCGAAAATGTAGCCGGACCTGGTTCAGTTGTTGGGCAGGATGAATTATTGTTCACCTACAGCTAGGTTCAAAGCTGTTACCGGCTGGCGTCTACACCGAATTTGAATAAGCGCGAGTTGACGAAGACTGAAATTGAGCTTTGTCTGACGGCTGAGATGCGAAATTATGTGAAAATGGGTACTAAGAGTAGGGAGTGAAACAAAGCAGGATGGCCGCTCAAAGTGCCTGGGCGTTGCAGGGAATAAAACAGTTGCTAGACTTATTAATCCACCACATATCACAAGAAGGTCAGTTTGAATTTCTTCTGAAATGACTGAGCGAACTCAGAGTTGGCACGTTAGAGTTAGCCTTGTCCGGTGCGAACCCAACGCCTATGCAAACAGTCGAATTGAATACCACCAATTTCGGTGGGGAATCTCAGGTTTACATTTATCAAAATAATGGTCCCAAAGTCAAGTCGGGGACCGATCAGTAAGCTGTTTTCTAATAAAGCCACGGTGTTGTCTGAAGTTACGTTCTGCTATGAATTTGTATTGTTCCAACTACCCAAACCACCTCGAGAGATCGGATCAACAAACGGTATGGCAAGAAAGAGAATGCACCCAGAGTGGACAGCTAGTTTAGACGCTTAAATTCGTACAAACGGGATATAAGAACAGGCCAGGTCTACATTTAGGGGGTGTCATATTTTTAGGGTGGACGCAGGAAATGCATTAAGCGAGCCGGAGCCTTGCTCTCCCAAACCCTAAACAAACAGCAATTCTGGTGCCGCCTCACTGGTACCACTAACGTCACGTCCTACCTTTTCTGATATCCATGTTACAGTCGACTGCCCTTTGTCCGTGTTTTAGTGATAAAGCCAATGGATAACGGTTTACAGGCAGTCGTACTCCGAACAACTAGGAACGTTAAACAGACTGAATTTTCTCAGTAGCCCACTAGAGACACAAACGAAGCTGTGTGCAAATTCTGTACGCAAGAATTAAAACACACAGCAGTATGCCAGCAGGCAAACTTGGGGACATTCCCTATTTCAAAGTTCAGATCATAACTAATAGCATGCCTGCGGACCAGTCCATCAACACCGGATTTGTGGTCTCCGGCTAGGGCATGAGATATCCTGCCTTAGATGAAGATCCAGTCAGAGACAAAAGGGCGCACCGCGACCGACCTTGAAATTGACGCTGCTCACCAACATGACGCCATAGTCATGGTGATTATAGCCCAGCGGGCCCGAAACAGGTAGTTAGCTGTCGTCTACCGCGCTGAGTGCAGATTGGAAACACGAGAAAATGGGCGTACCATGCCAACGAGGCTGTGTTGCAAACTTCAAAAACCATTTGCAGTACTTTAGACATCCATTGCACCTTTAGCCTCGTCTGGGTGGAAATTGTCCCCTGAAGCAGCAGCAAAACGTCCCGAAAACTGCACAAATTGCGGTGCTTATACATTAGCAGAGTAAGCTGTCCCGTGGACCTTCAACCAGATTTACAGATGTTAAGAAATCATATCAACCGAAGGCAGAACATGTCGGGAGCGGGGGTTGCTGGAAGATGGCGCTCCAATGACAGCGATGTGTTATACGACTGTTCGCTCGTGGCAGACAATGATATCCACGACTGCCCAACGAGAGGGGCCTAGCATTGACTCGTACGTTTATTTGTTTGTCGTAAAGAAGGCCTGTACCGCACTTATCTCACATTCTCCTCCCACATCCACCGTCCTTGGATGTGGACGTGACAAAGACTAACAAGCCGTCTGC